CAGGCTAAAGAGCCCCATGGCTCTCAGCCTGTCATCGTAGTTCATTGATATCTACAACCCTGTGCCTTCTTTCACTATGAATTCTCATCTGGTTTATGTAAAGAAGGTGTTTATATAAAGAAGGCATTGGGGAAGATTACTTATTTGGAATAATCCCCTTTCTAGCATAAAACTGGCTAGTAGCATGTTCCCTGTAGTATAGGAAATGCATTATAAACATACTTGGTGGGCACTTTTTCTTAGCAGTATCATCTTAGCATTAATTATTATTTATAGTTGAATAAGATATCATAGTATGCAGTTACAATTCTAGGATCTCATAATTTCAGCATTCTCGTTTGACTACAGGATAACCAGAAGCAAGGTTTAAATTCAGTGTACTTTTTCAAAGTTGTCCCCCCCCTTGTGGTGTGTGTGTGTGTGTGTTTGTTTGTTTGTTTTAAACACTCCCTTTTACAAAAGTCTGTCTTTTAACTTGAATTTCCTGCTTAATGACCAGGCAATGCTGCAGTGCTTTTTTCTGGTCTTTTCCAGTTAGTTGACTATTTCTGTAGAAGCCCTGTCCTGTATGCCCTATGAGTTTATTGAATTAATTTTTGAAGGACGTGAAGACAAAGATAAAAAGTATTCTAGCCAACAGAGGATAAATCCTGTGTCCCACCCTATTTTCTGGCCAGTTGGTTAATCCATGTGATGTGTAGTGGAGTACTTTAGAGAACCTCACTGCCATAAAAGTTCTGTTCATATAACTTCTGAAGCACAGAGCAGTACAGTATATAGTGGGGATTGGGGGAATTTATTAGTATCTGCAGAGAGCGTGTTGTGGGGAATTGGCTGTACAAAATTTGTGTAGTCTGAGGGCGGGCAAATCCCAGGTCACCAATGTGCTTTCCATAAGCCATATTTCTTATCCAAGGGTACTGAGCTAATGCATCAGCTTTACAGATGCTGAAACCTGCACACGAACAAGAAAATGTTTTTACATGTTGCTCCTAAGCTGTAAGAGACTAAATGGATGCATCAGGAAGAAAGAAGGTAAAGAAGGACACTTGGTAAAGGATACCCCTGAGAACAGAAACAGCAGTCAGAAGCTTTGGAAAGCTTAAAATAGTGTTGCAGCAATCCAGAAGCAACATGCTTCTCCATAATTTTCTTTTATCTATTTTAATTGGCTACCAGTTATCACACAATGACTTAAGAGTCTTATGTTCATTTGCTCCACCTATGTAATATTGCCACAGGGGCCACTGACAGATGTGGAAGGAAAAAATGCCCGGCTCTTTATTGGAAGAGGAAGCACATTAGTTTGATGTGGCTACCCAGCATCTGTACAGATCAGGTGCTTCAGCAGGGCTTTTTGGTGCTTTTATCTAATAGCTGATTCAAACTAACGTGATGCTGCTTCTAAGCACGTGCTGCACTTGACGTAAGGTGAAACTAAACTGCTGTTTTGTTTTGGGTTTTTTTCACATCTGTAAGCAGCCAGGATGGCCAAGAAAGTTGTTCAACTGTGCTACTTAGTTAACCTTCATTATTATTTCCCCCCCTTATATTTAAAGGATTACTTATTGAGTGGCTACTTAGTTTTCAGGTCCATCTTCCACTGATTTTCCCCTGGTTAAAAAAAATAAATATTTTCAGTATCGTTTTCCCTTCTTGTTTGTATTTTTAGAGGAACCACTGGTGTAGAAAGAATTTCTGAAATTGGAGTCATAAATCTATTTTTCTTCTGAAAAATTAACATTGTTTTCATTTAATTTAACTTTCATCCAGTCTTGCTTCAGAAGGTGTGTGTAGTTTTTGCTGTAAGCAGGATAAGAATTTTCCAAATGTCTTTGCTTCAGCAATCAGATTTTCACAGAGACCAAGCTAAACTGAAAAAACTTTTTTTTCTAGGTCAGGGGCTTTGAGACAGCTTACTGCATAGATAGTATGGGGCACAACAATGGTGGCATTGTTGAACTCGGACCATGCCACAGAATGGGAGGAAATCAGGTAAGAAACTAGAAATTCAAAGGGGTTGCTTTCTGAGGGCACGTCTACACGAGACGCCATTTAGAAGTCACGTTGGCGGGCACTATCCATGACGTGACACTACTGTGCAGTAGTAACAAGCTACTGCACAGTAGCTCATTACTACTGCGCAGTAGCATCTGAAGAAAACCATGTGAGGATGCTACTGCTACCAGAGAGAAGCATTTGCAAAGAATAGTCAAAAAGCTATTTTTCTGCTAAGGTTGTCCATAAATCTATATTACTGAAAAAAACTAGATTAGATGTGGGAGAGGAATTGGACAAACTCTAGGGTGGGAATTTGGGATTTGCTTAGACTGTAAAATTAGATGTAATAATATTGATGTTGTTAAATGGAAATATTGCTGCAGGTGCACACATATTGTGTAAAATTGTATATATGTCAATTAGAAGTTATGTAGATATTAGGAAAAACAGTAGAAGTTCTTGAATTAGGATTGGCACCTGTGAGGTAGGTATTGACAAGGCAGAAGCTTTTCGTTAAGCATCTGTATCATTGCAGTAGAACAGTTAGAACTCTGGGTATCAGAGATCATTCATGATTTAACCTCAACCAGTTGTTAAATTCTCAGGAAATAATCCCTTACACACTCTAGTCTCAATTGCAATTTCTCAAACTTGTTTTGCTTTAATGTACCTGTATGGAACACTAATGCAATGCACCACTTGAAAGAAGAAATTTAAATCCTGATTAGTTTATAAGTGAAGCTAAATTGCAGTGACCAAGCTTGATTCCTAACAGCTAATTGTAATTACAAAGTTTACTACACTATTTTTCCTAATCTTCACAATTCTATCAGTAACACTAGTATAGCATCCTTCAAATAGTCCTATACCTTTCTCCTCTTGAGTTGATTATCTTTTCAAAATATAAAGCCTATATATTAGCTGAACCTATATATAGGTTCAAAGCAAAGTGGTAAGAATGAGTTAACAACAAAATGCTTTTCGCTTTCATTGTGTATCATTAACTGAAGCCCACATGGTTGAGCTTTGTCATAGCAGTATTGCAGTCAGATGTAGAATGGCATCTCCCATGTAAAATGTTTGGTTGACTTATGTTGTTGATGTAGTCTGAACTATAGTATGGTAACCTGCAAAAACTAACTTTTTCAGTCTTACTTTGAAGTCAAATAACAGTCTTAAAAAATAACAGAAATCGTCTGTTTGTATTTGGATTTGTCTTTATTTGTCTTCTATTCTGTTGGTGTCCTCAGTTGAATTACTGGCCAGGATAAAATTCAGTGGCTACTAGCTTTTTTGAGAGGTAGTAGTAAAATAGCCATCAATTCATAAAATTATGTTTTTCAACTGTTTTCAGAAGCCACCAAGTTAAAATATTTTGCATTGATCCTTTTTCTTCTTAAAGCTAAAGTTGTTAATCTTCTAAATCCAGAAACTGGATTTTGATTATTAAAAGCTAGTGTGTTAAACCACAAAAAGTAAATTAGCCCTACCCAAGCACAGACGGATGCAATTTTCAAGATGTCATTTTGTTGTTCTTAGGTTTTTAGTTACTTCATAGTTGTTGTGTTTACAGTAATAAGAAGATGTTTGGAAATGTTTCTCTTAGCTTTTCCGAATCAATGAAGCTAATCAGCTCATGCAATATGACCAGTGCTTGACTAAGGGAGCTGATGGATCAAAAGTTACGCTTATGCATTGTAATCTGAATGAATACAAAGAATGGCAATACTTCAAGGTAAGTGACTGGCACTGAATAAGAGATGGACCTTAACATATTGGTTAGACTTCTTTTTCTTATTCTTGAAAGCAAAGATTCAAGACCAAATTCGCTATGTTTAATGGAGCAAGAAGTAAAATTGCAGTTCCCTGCGCCAATCTCTCTCTTTTCTTTTATTAGGAGGAATTGATCTTGATGGGAAATGTGATCTGTTGCCACTATATCTTGTTTCTTCCAGGACTTCCGCTGCAGAAAAGCCCCTTTAAATCCCACTATGCTACATATACTATCATAGATATATGATAAATTAGCATAGATGTGGGCAACATGCAGCACGTGCCACAAGTGTCACAGGCAACCTCTGTGTGGCATGTGGCAAATCAGGGAGGGGACAGACAGCACAATGGCAGGTAGGGCAGGAAGCAGCAAACAGAGCAGCAGATGGGGCAGGGAGTAGAAGAGTAGACTGGGTAGGGGAAGGGAATTGGCGTTACATCTTGGGGAGGGGTACAGATCTAATTTGTGGCATGCCTGCCAAAAAGGTTTGTCCCAGCTCTATTAGCACAGTCCCTTTGGCATTACTCTGATCTCCATACTAGTAATGGAGATTGCAACAACCTGTGGTCACAAAAACCTTCCTGTTAATGTACTTCCTATCAGTAGAGTGTTCCACAATGTCAGTGCAGTCATAAGAGAACATAGTCTCTGGAGTAAAGTTTAACAGCTAGATTAATGTAATTTTAATAGTAATTTGAATGTGATGTCTAAATTGACATGGTGCTGCTTTCAACAAATATGTATTTTAATCATACAGAAATAGAGACCAATTACTTATTTACATTGCCTTGTGCTTTGTTCAGCACTTGTTTTTCATTTGCATTAACTGCATATTCCCTGAGTAACATGTCTTCTGAAGTATGGCTATGGTACAAGTCCACTGCAGCTGTGTGGTATCTGAAATTTTAAGAATTGGTATGTCAGTATACCTTTGCAGAAAGTCTGTCTAGAATCTAACTTTTAAAATGCTTGTTTTACTTTACCTTAAGTACCAAGGTTAGAGTTTTTGTTCCTGTAGAGAACTAAAGGTAAAATCTATCCTTCAAATACATGTTTACTCACAGTTGATTATATCTGAGGGCCAAAATATATATTTGAAGTGTTGAATGCCAGAATGCACTCTCACATTGATTTTTATGACTACAACCAATAGAAGATGCCTATCTAGCATACTGGGTATGCTAAATTCTCAGCAGTACAGAGAGGATGCATCTGCATGTGAAAAGAAGGTGAAGCAATAAACTCCAGAGCAGTTTTTACCAGTCAGCTGCTCTTGGGCATAGCACCTACATGTGTGCCTGGGAAGCAGCAATTTGAGCCAGGGTAGAGCAGGACTGGGCTTGCAGGGAACACCAGGGAAGGGGGGGGTGTTCAGCTTTATGCTCTGGGTGGTGGGGTCTGGTGGTGGAGGGGCTGGCTGGGCCTTGAGGTATTAAGCAAAGTAACTGCCTTAGTCTGACTTTGATCATAAGCCAGTAACCACTGACAAGACAGGAGGCCTTAGAAGAATTCAGGCCTACTCTTAAGGTAGCTACCTTGCCTTATTTCTAGGTTATATGGAATACAGAGCACAGGAATGAGGGAATGGGTCATACTTATCAGTGGTACTTCTGGATGCAAAACAGAGGTGATGCAAACACAACTCTAAATATTCATTGGTAGTGGTCAAGGACACCAGAGATCATGGCTATATCTGGTTGGGCAGTTGGGCCTTCTGATGTTCTGCGGCCAAAGTTTCTTACATGTGTGCTTTTCCGGTCAAGGAAAAAGAAAAAGTGAGAAAGCTGAGCCAAAAACTATAACTTCTCTCGCTTGTGTTAATGCGCTGAGTGTCACTATTGTGTTTACAACCTTAGATGAGATGGCAGCATCAGGAGCACGTGTAAGAGCTAAGTAGCAAAGGACACATTTAAATGCATCTATACTTTATACTGTTATTCTTTAATTCTGTGATGGGCAGTAATATTGAAAAACTATTTTAGAAACAGTTGTGATACTAAGGTGTGAAAGTGTGGTTTTTAAAGTACACCAAAATGCATTTCTTTACCAACTAGTGGTATTGCAGGATGAGAAAATATAAGCATAACAAATTATTCAAATTAATTTATAATTGAGCCTTTCACTGGAACTATAGGTAACTTGTTTTCATTCCAAAAGATCGCTGCATATAGTAGGTGGGAAAAAGTCAATTTATTTCTAATGATTTTTTGTTTTACAGAATCTGCACAGATTTACTCATATTCCTTCGGGGAAATGCTTAGATCGTTCAGAGGTCCTACATCAGGTCTTTATCTCTGAGTGTGACTCCAGTAAAGCAACACAAAAATGGGAAATGAACAACATTCTTAGTGTGTAGACAAAAAACCCCTACCTACTGACATGTTAATATGTACAGGACTGAGAATAGCCTGAAAACTGCTGCAACTATTAACTTTGTACAGCTGCAAGCCTGGAACCTCTCAACTTGGATGAAGGACATAGATGAACTGTGATTATTACAATAACATTATCATCTGCAGTTAATGTTTACAAAACTGCTTTTACCTTAAACTTTGTAGATGTTTACATCTTTTTGTTTTCAGATGTTGGTAATATAATGTGCTTTTAGCTGTGTTGCATAGGAACAAAGTTAAAAGCACTGTTGTCTTCTTTGGGATTACACTCAGGGGTCTGAAGGCAGTTTTTTTACACACACTTGAAAGGTTGGAGTAACCAGACTTATTCATATAACTTGGTGATTATCAACCTGTTGTATCTTTTTATTTAATTTTACATCTTACCTAGCACTGCCACAGGTTATTAGCCAGGGTGGCCTTCTTTCACACTCATGCTGCTTTTTTGAAAGGTGAATTTCAACATATTTAGTGCCTCTTTCATTTCTCTATATATTTTACAAGTCAAATATTTGACAGAATTTATAGTATGGATATGTTGAGCTGTCACCTTGATAGGGATCATTTGTACTGCCCATGAAATTACTATATTACTGAAGGTAAATTTGGGTAGCCACTTTGACTGCTGTCCTCCTCAGATATTGACGAGTCAAATAAGGCACAGACCAGAAATATTCTCTGGGTTTCCAAAAGTACTGCAATATGCCCATTTGCTGCAGGTGCTATAACCATTGGAATTTTAAGGAAGTTAAACCAGGGATGCTGAGTAGCACTAAGTTCCATACACCTGGTATGTTAAATAGTGTTGAAGAAACTGAACTTTAACTATATATATATATATATATATATATATTGCAAAGGAAAACTGAACCTGAAAGTTAGCACTGTGTTGATACATTTGATGAAAGTAAGCACTCTGAATTACAGCTAAGAACTCCAAGCACTAACTGTTCTTTCATGCCTTATATGAAAAAGCTAAAGCTGCACAATGTATAAAACTAGGACTTATCCAATGTTTCACTTACATTATAACTGTAAATGGAATTTACTTGCATATGAGCTGAAACTTTAAAATTAAAAAAAATCATTAACATATATGTGCAGACTTTGAAATTATAGATTCAGAATTAAACTTGAAAAGAGGATACGAAAACCTGAAGCTGTATCTGTTCAAATTAAGTGCTCTTTTTTTCAATGAATGTAGTTATGAACTCCTGTAGAGGTACAACCCCAAATTAAAACATAGTTACCTAATTGTTTAATTACAATGCAACTGCAGTTGTGTGCAAACTAGAATGTGTACAAATTAGCTTCTTAATTGGGAATTTCTATTAGGCCCATTCCCTTGAAAATAGAAATATTTACACTGAATAATGTAAATTATGCAATATCTAGTCCTCTTCTTTTCCCAGTTTAAGGTTCTGTGATAGTGAGGTATTGATGACATCACAAAGTCATAGTTAAGTATACAACATATGACTTGGAGGTTTGAAAGTATTTGTTTCAAGGACCAAATTCTGCCCTCAGATCTAGACTACCATTGGATGGAATTTCCACTGAAGTTAATGAATGGTGTTGTAAGTAGAAGCAGAGTTTAAGCTTTACTGGCCTGCCTGTCTGCACATATATATAAATGATTTAAGATATTCTCCGGTGTCCTTAAACTGTTCAGCTATCCTTCAAAAGGTGTGAAAAAGAAAATAAAGGATGGAAAACTGGAAAAAGGAAAATAAGGGTGTAGGTACTTTTTGTTTTTGTGTGTATGAAAACTGACTCCATTTTTTTGTGTTGGGTAGATTAATTTAATCATGTTACTATGCATAAGTGAAAGAAAGGTGGCACATAAATTGTGCAGGTGTGCATTTTAAATGGGTGTTTTGTGCAATTCATTAAAAACTGATGCTGTATGTGAATATGAATCTGTATGTGAGACTGCAAACCTTACAAAACATGAGAACATCAGAAGCTGTTGCTGTAATGACTTTTTCCTACTGTAGCCTGCTTGGGGAAAAAAAATTCCCATTTCCTTGCTTTGTAAGTTGATGATAATATCACTATGCATTTCTACACATTTTATAAATTTGATTTATGCAGATTTTGATACACTGTATGTTTCTGTAGAAATTGTATAAATCCTCAAAAGTTTTATTAGGGATAAATCTGGGAATCCTATGTACATCTTAATTCTGGGTTGCTTGTTTTTTAGGTGAGGAAAATAAAATAAAATATTTTAACTTGTGGGTTTTACCATACTTATACTATACTTCTATACTGATTATTTCATGTCTTTTTAAGAGTTCTTTTCCCTGAATCTAAATTGAAAACGTCAAATAGTACTTATTTTAAAATATTGAAACTACTCTATTTTACTTTTATTTAGGTCCTTATTGTCATGCGAGAGCCCAGTTGTTCCAGAGAAATGGTAACAAAACTCTCACTCAGAGTTGCTTCTTAGCACAGTTGGACACGGTATTCCCCTGCCCAAACCTGATTGGACAAAAGAAGAGGTGATGTGAAACCAATGTGTTCACAAAAAATAAGCCTAGGAAAGACCTCTGGAACAGGTTTGAAGGACAGAAAATGGTCAGGAAAATGCTAACTCACAAAACTGAAACTTTTCACAAATGCATTGGTTTTGTTAAAACTTTAATCAGAATGTTTTCTCAGGTTCAGGAGAGTGGGGATGGGAGAGGAAGAGAAAGACTGTCCAAAATAAATCAGTGATAAAGGCACTCACCTGGGATGTAGGGACCTAGGTGTAACCCTGATTTGAATTGAACAGTCTCTGAAATGGAAAAGGGCAACTGCTGAATACTTTTTTCCCCTAATAAAATGGAATTCTTTTTTACAGCCAGCCTTGCCAAATATGCTGTGGTCACATTAACTCTCTGTCACAGGAGCCTTTCCTACCAGTCAGAGATATTGCACTAGCTGGTTCCTGTCAGGAACAGAGTTTCTTCATGCTGCTTATAAGCCCTACACCATAGAATCATAGAAGTAGGGTCGGAAGGGACTTTGTAGATCTTCAAGTCTGACCCCCTGCCTGGGCAGGAGAAAAACTGGGCTCAAATGATCCCAGCTAGGTAGGCATCAAGCCTCTTCTTAAAGACCCCCCGGGTAGGAGCCAGCACCACTTCCCTTGGAAGTTTGTTCCAGATCCTAGCCGCCCTGACCGTGAAGTAGTTCTTACGGATGTCTAATCTAAACCTCTTCTCCATCAACTTGTGGCCGTTATTCCTTGTTATGCCAGGGGGCGCTAGGGGAAACAAGGTCTCTCCCAAACCCTTCTGGTCCCCCCTAGTGAGTTTGGGAGAGACCTTGTTTCCCATGCTTTTCCCTTTTTTTCCTCTGACCTTTCTCTGTTTCTTTGGGTATTTTCTTCATATCGGAGTTCCTTCTTTTTTTTTGTGAGGGACAGGGACAGTATTACCATTTCCCCCTCCCTTCAACACGCACCATTTTGTTTTGGGACCACATTATGTTGTGCCATTCTTCTGTTTTCAGGTACCTTGAGACCAAGCTTTTGCTTGCTTTTCCTGTTTTATTCGAGACCCTTCCACTTTCTATTATTTTCGTGATACTTTCATCAAAGTTACTGGGGTTTCAAAGCTTCTACTCTTGTGCAGGGTTGGTTCCTGCCTCTTACTCTCTGTTGCCTTGGAAAGGCTTGGACACCCAACAAGTGTGATATTTTCCAGTCCTTTTAAGCTAGGTTGAGATAGGAAGTCAAGATAAAATGCCATATATTCTTTCTTGGCAAATCCTTGACTTCAGCCCTGGTAGCAGGGCTTTGAGCAGGTGTCACCTCTTCATGGCAGCTGCTGTCTTCCCTGACATTGCACAGCTTCACACCAACTGTCAGGATGGGGATGTGATTAGTGTGGTCTACTGATTATTGGTTGTGTTGCTCTTGGTGTTTCAAGAAAAAGAGCGAGTTGTTTAGATGCGCCACTGCAAGCAAGTCTAATACAAAATACAGTGTTTTTAATGATGTAACGTATCTATAAAATGCTTTAGTTAGGGCACTAAAGAGCCCAAAAGACATAATGAGATATTCAAAGTGGCTGTAGTAGGTATAAAATATGTTAGTCACCCTTGAAGATACAGATCAAATCGTTTGCCCCTAAAGGTTACGTTTGATGAAAGTCTGGAGTTTCTTGGATAATTCATTAATGAGGGACACCACATACTGATTATGAAAGGGGACCCTACTGAGTGACCACTAGTCTACAAAGAAGCGTAGTAGCCAGCCTTTAGCAGAGACTGGACATCTGCCAGGGAGGTAGATAAGCAAATGAATCCTTTTGTAAAGTTTTCTTGGAAGTCTCTCAGAGCTGCATGTTCTCATTCTGACAATGTGTAGACAGCCCAAAAGGCATTGCCACCTCAGACTGGAAGTCAGACAGGCAGTTGCATGGCCCATGTGATAGTAGAGGGTTTGCATTTGGATGGTAGTAGTCTGAACTGAATCAGATATTTCAGACCCAGACCAAGAAATACAAAGTACCAAGTGGATAAAGTCAAATTGTAATGACCCACTATGCAATTGAAAGATGACCTATGAGGGGCCATCTTAAAGGTAACAGCTCTGAAAGACAGCAAAGAGCTGTCAATGGTTTTGATTGCCAAAGAAATGGCTTTATGTTTAACTGGAATGAGGTCAACTGGAGCAAAGTTCAAAATCAATGACGTTATCACAAGTTATCAATAGTTATCAGTAGGGGTAATGTATCCCACAGCATGATGGTGGAGGTTAAATGGAAGCTGCAAGGGGGGACCTAAAGCAAAGCTACAGGTAAAAGAGTATTGGATGAACTGTGGGAGGCAGAATGTCCATCAATCTAGGTCCCTTCCTTCAATAGCTCAGGCCTAGAAAGAAGAAAGACCTTGGGTCAACCTTCAGTGAGCTTACCAGGAAATTAGTGCAGTGAGTTCATCTCAGTCATCCCTGTTGAGTTTAAAGCAGTGTTTTGTGGGGTCAGCTTCTTGCCAGCACAGCAGCTAATGGCTGGCTACTGAAACAATGACTCCTTATTGCTCACTGACTAGGAGAAGGAGGAAGGGCTCCTCATCAGTAGCATAACTAGGGTGGGGCAACCAGGGCAGCCAAACCAGGCAGCTGCCCCAGGCACCAACAGGGGGCTGAAAAAAACAGCTGCCACTGCAGCTCCACAATCATGCCAGTGCCATGGTAGCCTTCAGAAGTTGCCACTGTCCCCATGTGTTGCAACTGTTCCAGGCACTTGGCTGCCTTGTTATGCCTCTGCTCCTCATCCCTGACATCTTCTCACAAAGTCCTGACTCATCCCACAAACATTTCTGAATGCACTGAGTGCTTGGGAATGCACTGAACTCATAAGAATGGTTATACTGATCATTTTGGAGCTAAGAACTCCCAGTTGTGTAGGGATCTGGAGGAGGTTTATAGAGCTGATTCCCAGAATGTTTGTCTTGGAGGCCTTCCACAGAGACTGAGAGTTGGGTGTATCAAATCCTCAGGCCCATCCATATGTGCAGATTCCAGATTGATCACACTTTCACGGGTCTCACATATCAAGAGTAAAAAAGGTCTTTCAAATTGACACCACAGTCATCATCTCTATATTCAGCCATTGTGATGCTGGTCTTGCTCTGATTGGGACCTTCACTTCATATCTTCCTCCGCACTGACTATTTTTCCTTCAGCATTGAAACCATAAAATTTGGCACTCTCCTGAACCTGTCTTCTCTGTTGACAAACAAATGGACAAAAAATACAGTGCCCCCAAAAGGTGCAGAATTTCCCCACTCGTACCCAGTCTCACCCTCGCTTATTCTAGCAGCTGCAAAGGAGAAGGAACCAAGACACCTGGCTCTATTTGATAAGAAGACCTACTCTTTTGCAGGTTTGAATTCCACATTGCAAACTCCCAGACCCAGATAAGACTTCAAACTATATAACCAACTAGCTAGACATGGTCTGCAGCACTAAGGATTACTTCCTATGTTGCATATGGAAGGCAAACTGGTTTCTAAGACTGCTTGACAAGCAGCTCTCAACACTGGATAGTGCATTGCACTTTATAGCCACAAGGAAAATATCTTTGTTTCTCAGCTTGAGTCTGTCTAGAAAAGTTGACAGTCTTCCATTTAAGGGTGTCCAGCTGTTCAGCAGCAAGACTGATGAGATTCTGTTCATGAAAATACTCTGTGCTTGCTTCAAATCTAGCTATCTTTGGGCATTTTTACACATGCAAGCACCACAGCTGATGCCAACTCTGCTGCGCCACATGCAGTTGTATAAGTGGTAAAATGCATGTCAGTGCTGAGAAAATGCCAGTGGCATGCTTTTGAACTAAAACACATAGAAGGTGTTTTAATCAAAAGTGCACTGCTGCCATTTTCTGCATGCTGACACGCATGTCACCACTTATACAGCTGCATGCAGTGCGGTGCAGTTCACATCAGCTCATATGTGGAGCAGACTCAATTAACTGAGTCTGCTCCAAAGCGGTGGATTTCCAATACATCATGGGACAAAAAGGTATCTGTATAAATGCCCTTCATGACCACTTAAACCTTGTTGCCACCAGTTCTTGTCCCACAGGCAACCTCTGCCCAATCGTTTCCTCTGATCAGCATCTGTTCCCTCTGTTCTTACATGCCAGTTTGAGCCTCCAAAGAGGCAGAGGCTACATAGATACCAGCAGTTTGGAACTTCATACTTCTCTCATTGCGACAAGTCTATTAAAGGAGCCTTGAGGATATACTGAAAAGAAAATTTCAATTCCTCCCTCTCTCCCTTTTTTACAACTACCTCACCATTTTCTTCTCTGTTTAAACCATCACTATTGTAGACTTCCTGGCTTTTGATACAACTAGAAGTGGCTAGGTCATTGGGACTGCTACTCTTTCCTCTCCTGATCCCCCTACCTCTCCCTTTGCAGGAACCATTTTGACAAGGGGAAGGGGCCTCCAACAGGAATTATAGTCTTTTATTTTTGTTTGTTTCCTGGAGCAGAGGAACATGTTCCAACTCACCTGAGAGGGAAGGGATTGTACAGCACTTATTGTCTGGTTCCAAAGAGAAGAGAATGAACAACAATCAGTCCTGGACTTGAGAAACCTGAATCAGTATATTCAAAAATATAAGCTTAAAACAGTTGCAGTACCAATAACCACTCTATCTCTGCAACAGAAAACTGCTTGTCATCTCTTGACCTACAAGGTGCCTACTTTCACATTGCTATTCAGCCTTTTGCAGGCAGTCATT